CTGCCAGGAGCTGATTCCCATCACCCTCCTATCACATCTCTCTCTCTTCTCCCCTGGACCACTCGGCTCCAGATCCCCTATCTACCCTGGGGTCTGAGAACACAGTGAGCACCATCCCTCCACAGGGCTTTGCTCTACCCCAAACTCCTGGCCTTTTCCAGGGCAGGCACCCTGTCACCCTTCTGCTGCAATGGTCCCTCAGCAGGCAGGCTTTCTCGGATCACCCTACCTAAAGTCACTTGCCCAGAATATCTGTTTGTTGCCAGGTATTTACACACTGACAACCTTCTTCCAATGCAAAATGGTTGTAGGTGATTCGAGTCAATGAGATAGGAGAATTTCTCTAGTTTTTCTAGGTTTATAAGGAGAAAGATGTCATGGGAACACAGAGAAGCAATGCAGGCCATAGGGTCTGAGAGGGAGTTTTCTCTGCAGGTTCTACTGAAAGGCAGCAGCGAAGGGGACCCTCTGGGGTTCCTGGGATACTGTCCTCAGGAGAAGGGGCTGTGGCCCCACTTGACAGTGAGACAGCACCTGGACGTGTTCGCTGCGGTGAAAGGGCTGAGGAAAGCAGATGCCACCGTCACCATCACACGGTACAAGGGGAGAAAGGGGTGGTTGGGGAGGGGGGGCGAGGGAGACACACCTGAGAGGTCCAGGAAGTCAGTAGGAATAACAGCCTTCACAGGAAACTCAAGATTTCCCAGGAGACTCAACGCTGACCGAGACCCCAATGGGGAGATTTGCGATCATAAAGTGGTTTCCCCGATTTTAACATGTTATTTTCTTTTCTCATCTTTAATATGGAAAGAACAAAGTATGTATTGGCAAATTTATCGAAAATACTAAAATTGAAGTGTAAACTATCATAGGACAGCTATTTGCATGTCATAAAATGGCTTCAAATCTTTTAAAGGGAAAAACTAATTTGGGGGGCGGGCGTCAAACCAGGCCAATGCATCGTGGCCCAGCGTCTATGTCAGAACCGCATTTCGGAGCTCTGTTCCCCACCTGGTCCTGCATGGCTCACTCTCCCACCGAGTGTCCTGGTTCTCAGAGGCCTGTACCCCCACTGTGTTTCCTTCAGGTTGGTGGAGGCACTCAAGCTGCAGGAGGAGCAGAAGCGCCCCGTGAAGGCCTTGTCAGAGGGAAGCAAGAGAAAGGTAGGGTTGGGGTTGGGGTTACTCTCGAGGCCCACAGATGCCAGATCCATGCCAGATGCGCTGTTCCTCTCCTTCCAGCTGTGCTTCGCGCTGAGCATCCTGGGAAACCCATCGGTGGTGCTGCTGGACGAGCCATCCACGGGCATGGACCCTGCGGGGCAGCAGCAGATGTGGTGAGGGGCACCGCCGGGTCAGGGCCAGCGTGGACGCCTGGCAGGGAATCTGTGAAGTGTTTACCTCCTGTGAACTTTGTCCCTTAAGCTGTTTTGATTTGATTTTTACTTTTCATCAAGTTTTTAACGTGTGAAATCTGAGTTCTGTCGGGGACATATACCTACTTATCTCAGTTTCTGAGGTCAACGTTGTGGCTACTCACTTTTATTTTTTAAAATATATTTGTATTGTTTTCAGAGAGGAAGGGAGGGGGAGAGAGAGATACAAACAAAAATGATGAGTGAGAATCATTGATCGGCTGCCCCTGCACACCCCACGCTGGGGATGGAGCCCGCAAACCAAGCATATGTCCTGGTTCATAGGTCAACCCTCAGCCACTGAGCCATGCCAGTCAGCATGGCTACGCACTTTTAAATTCACAGTTCCAAGCAGCTGAGCCAGCTCTCTGTACCCAATGAGATAAGTTCACCATCACTAATTCCATCATCACAGTTATCATGTGCTGTTACCAGTTTTTCAGTCTCCATTAGATTGGGGTTCTGTGAGAGCAGAGATGTTCATGTTCTCTTTGCCTTGAAATAAGTACCCAATTCTTTGCTAAATGAGTAATGAACAATAGTTCTAGTCAAACAGTGTGATTTATCCATAATTACTAAGCACTCATCTCTAAATA